GTCATGTTCTTCTGAGCTGTGAAAGAAACACAATGCGCGCGGCCAGAGGACGTCTCGATCTGGGCCTGCAAAAGCTGGGCTGGAGGCTGTAGGGCTGTTCGTCAAGGTCGTACGTATTCTGACCCAGGAGCTTTTCTTTTCCAGATCAGGCAAAGCATAACCTTTCCAGCCTAACCAACGCTTGACACTTGACTTCCAGCTCTCGATGCTTTGCTCCAGAGTGGCGAGTCTAGTACGCTTTCTGTGACGGAGACCAATCTCCTCTATGATAGAATCAAGGGGATCATCAAAACTCGAAATTGTTGCGAGCAAGCCATTCGGAGCAACCCGTATGCATTTGCCAGTGAGCCACTTTTCTTCGGCTTGTGTCGAGATGCCGCCGATGCAGCGGATGTCAGTCTTGTAGTCAGTGTAAGTCGAGACTAGGAGTGTACCTGAGCTTGCCCAATGTACATTCACGCTAGTAAGGCGATGCACAGGAGCTGGCGCTTCAGTCTCGTATGGATCGTCGTCAGCTCGTTTGCAAGCCTTGGACACAAATGTGCGGTAGTTCAAGGCAGTCACGTTGCAATCTTTGACGACGTTGAACGAGATGAGTGCGATGACAGACGATGTGAAGAGCTCATAGATAGTGAAACAATCGGGTGGAGAAGGGGAATCGATTGCTTGAGGCTGACTGCTGCCCTGTGATGACCTCGCGCTGCCAGCATGTAGGCCTCTTTGTGGTTGTGTGGTCGATGGGGAGTGGGTCGAGGTGGCAGTGGTGTTCGGATTGCCCGGGCGCATGGGGGGTCGCACTAGATCGATGGCCTTGGTGCATCCTATCTGCTCGCCTAGCACGTGTTAGCTGGGTGTTTTGGGAAGAAGCGAAGACGACATACTGTGCAGGCGATAGCCGTCGAGCTCTGGGGGTTCGGCATCGTTCGGCTCTGGCTTGTCGACGGTCGTTGGCTTGAACAGCCATAGCCAGGGTCGAGATGCATCCTGCGCGACTAGTTGCAGGTCCTGTCGCAGCTGGGCTTCGACTGCGCGTATGTCTTCGGACGTGTTCCAGTCGCGCGTCCTCGAGGAAGTGGGGGTGGTGGTGCGTGTGATAGAGAAGGCTTGATATGCGACAGCCTCAAAGTCTCCCTGTGTATCGTCAGCACATGATGGCGCGCACTTCCATCAAGACGTACTATAGCTTGCGCATTCGTATTACAGGTTCTGAGAAATTCCATTAGAGAGACGGCTCCTCTCTAGGGGACATTCAGGTGGTATTCGCGGCGTATTTTCACTCCAAAGACTGCGCTGTACACCTTTTCCATCAACTCCGCTGCGGTCCGCCCAACGCGTCGCGCGCGACTGTGTCTATCAAAGCGATGTGGGTTGTGATGTAGGCGGGGCGACGAAGGCTAACGTGTCGGCATGATCTGAACGCGTATCTGTAGTTGGAAGATGGAGCATGGCGACCCGCATGCGCACCTGAGGAACGACGGAGGTCCCTGCAATCGGCAATGCCCGATTCAACCAACGGTACGAGTGGTAGATGTGATAGAAAACCCGGGCGAGACTCGACGACGACGACGACGACGACGAAAAAGCACGCAACTGCAAATGCGATGTCAGCGAACAAACAGAGCCCGCGGCTCGGCAAGCAAGTGGCGCGCCTCGAGGGCCCTTTCTTAGCCAGGGCCTGTCTCGCGACCTACCCTTGTAGTGCGGAGGCCTGTGCATACAAGTTTGCGGACCCACTTTAATACTTTCGTCGCGAACTTGTTCGTTGCCGCTTCCTGTCGCAAAACTTGCTACGGCGCCGACATGAAGATTTCTACGGGCAACGTACCCGTCTACACCATCAGCGGCAGCGAGGCGCGCCCGCTTCCAGAGTGGCTTATCCGGAAAAGAAAGCGCAGTCTGAAGAACGACCCCGAATTCGCAAACCGCGTGGATTTGCTGCAAGATTTCGAGTTTGAGGAAGCCAGCCAGTGTGTCCGTGTGAGCGAGGATGGAGACTGGGTCATGAGCACAGGCACATACAAGCCTCAAATACATGTTCACTATCTCCCTCATCTGTCGCTTTCCTTCGCAAGACACACCAATACTCTTGTACGTTCTTTCCGAGCTACACACGTCATGCACTGACTTTTCGCAGAACCAAACCTTCCACCTCCTCTCCTCCGACGCTACCAAGAGCGTACATCTCCAGCAAGATCGATGCATCGAGTTCCACACCGGTGGGGGGCTCCATTATGCGAGCCGCATACCACGTTATGGTCGCGACCTCATCTACGACCGAAGATCCGCTGAGTGTCTGGTACCGTCCGTTGGTGTGAATGCAGACGGAATGGGCGAGTGCTTCAGACTGAACCTGGAAGTTGGGCGCTTCATGAGGAGTTATGACATCGACGTGGGTGGCGACGACGTGACGACAGTTGGAGGTGGTGCTCTCCAGGGTGGCATCGACGCTGGTGCAGTCAACACCGGTGCTATTGCCGAACAATCGCACGGTCTCCTCGCCTTCGGCACTTCTATTGGAACAGTCGAGTACTGGGATTCGCGATCAAGGAACAGGGTCGGTATACTTTCTGCTCCTCCGGATGCATTTGAAGGAAAGTCGGAAATCACAGCTCTAACATTCCCATCATCGGGCCTGGAGGTTGCTGTGGGAGACTCAAACGGCATCGTGCAACTCTACGACCTGCGATCACCGAAACCACTACTAAGGAAAGACCAAGGATACGGCTATCCGATCAAGAACATCATCTACCTCGAGGGCGCGCAGACTGACGAACCCAAGATCTTGACTGCAGACAAGAGGGTAATCAAGATCTGGGATTCAAAGGACGGCACACCATGGACCTCTGTTGAGCCTTCGGTAGACCTGAACCACGTTGAGTGGGTACCAAAGACTGGTATGCTTTTGACAGCGAATGAGGGCAGGCAACAGCATTCCTTCTTCATACCACAGCTCGGTCCAGCGCCAAGATGGTGCCACTTCCTCGACAACATCGTAGAAGAAATGGCTGAAGACCCCAACGACCCCAACGCTTTTGGCAAGGGCGCGTCTGGAGACGTTTACGACAACTTCAAGTTCTTGACGCTCGAGCAGCTCAAGCAGCTGTCACTGGATCACCTTGTTGGAACTACAAGTCTCCTGCGACCATACATGCACGGTTTCTTTGTCGCCCAAAAACTGTACGAAGAAGCACGACTCATCTCAAATCCAGACCTGTGGCAAGAGCAGCGCGCCAAGAGCATCGCCGAAAAGATCAGCAAAGAGCGAGAAAGCAGGATTCGCGGCAACAAGAAGGTGGCAGTCAAGGTCAACAGAAAGCTCGCAGAGAGGATGTTGGAAAAACAAGAAGAACAGGAGCGAAGGAGGGCCAAGCGCGTTCTCAAAAAGGGCGGCGACGACGACATGCTGGAGCCTTCCGCAGCACCTGCCGTCGAAGAGCCCGTCAAAGCGGACGGTGTTCTCAACGACCCGCGTTTCGCCAAAATGTTCGAAGATCCCGAGTTCGAGATCGACGAGCAAACCCGCGAGTTCCAGCAGCTCAACCCCAGCACCAAGATACCCAAAGGTCTTACTGCGGTCGAACAAGAAGATCTGGAATCGAGAAAGGGCTCGTCAGACGAAGACTCCTCCGACTCAGAAGCCGACAAAGTACGTCCCACCAAGAAGCCACAGCAAAAGGAAGACACGTCGCGCATCTCTTCGGGCAACTACCGCAAAGCCGGTCACCGATCCCAACGTCCTGGCCCCGAAATGGTGGTCTCATCGTCGAACCAACGGAAAGCCGGACCGACTTCCAAGGACAAAACATTCGGCTCGCGTGTCTCCAAACTCAAAGACAGAAAACCTGCGTCGTCTGCGAATACGACGACAGTGGTCGGCGAGAGGGAGATTACGTTTGCGCCAGAGAGGAAGCAGAAGAAGAGACCCGAACAGGAGGGTCAGAGGCATGACCGGAGGAAACAAGGTGACAGGAGGAATGCTAGCAACAATGTCTTCAGGAATATGTAGAGTCTTTGCGATGTTTGTGGGTAAGATGGAAATGAGTTTGTTAGAGATGAATGATACCCTTATCAAATCACGACTACGTTCCATTGGTCATGTGATGGCAGATGAGGAAATGTTCTATGCACCAGCCGAGCCATAAACATTATTGGAACGTTGCATTCGTAGATGCTTTCAACTAGGAGGACAAAAATTGAGTATATGAAGCCGTCCTGTCGTGAGCGCTACCTCACCGTTAAAAAACCGAGCAATGTCTGGAAAACGGATCCGACTTAAGTGAACATTAGTATATTCATCCCTTTAACATTCATTTCGCGACAATACTGCTTCTGTCATACAGATGCACGAAGTCATCGTGGTTCACATACAATAGTGTAGTACCTAGCACATGCCAAGATGGAACAACACATCCAGATTTTACTAATCACATCCGAGACGGTCACAAGCTAGATTGCGCTCGATCTAGACTCGGACTCCTTGGTGGCCGAATGTACTTCATGTATCAAGTTCGTCTTGTTCTATGACTGATATCAGATATGTCGATTATTTGTTGGCTTGAACGATATCGTGTAGGTTAGGAGTACAGCCGATAAAGAATGGACTTCTACTCCGTGAAACAATCTCATTGGTAATTGAAGAGATGGTAAAAATTTCTGAAGTGAATGACCTTGTGCGTTAGTTGTTAGATAGCCTAGGGAAGCTGTCATGATTTCAAGTCCTGACTAGACGAAGCTCGAAGTATTTTCAGAAAATCAGACAAACTCATATTGAAAGAGTTAAATCGATCTATTGCAATTGCTTGTTCGTGGCGTGATTAACGCCCAAACAAAGCCTACGCCATGTGAATGTACTCCGTTATGTGTCAAGTTCACATAACATCGCCTCTATATATGCCAATCCCGTTGTCTTGTCCAGGCGGGATTTCTCGTTCTTCAACTCAAGATCGAACTTCAAGTCGATGGTATCTCTTGTGCTTTTTTCTTTCTTCTGGTGAGCATTCTTACTCAGCAGACTGCTTGTTCATCATGGTGTAGGCAGCGAATGCGAGCGCACCACCGAGGAGGATGATGGCGTAAAGGCCGACACCAGTCGAGGCACCGTCGGTGGTGGTGGCGGTTGAACCGGGCTGTGCGTAGCTCTTGGGCTTTGGGTCACCCTCCTGTGTCACTCATCAGCAAACTGGTCTTCGAGTAGTACGTAACGAACGGTGCGTTTCTTGTCCGCAGACTGCGGAATTGTTCCGAGGTACTTCCATTCCCCTCGGCCGACGCCCTGCGGAGGCCCACGGTACAAGAAAGACGTCCTGAATGGAGCCGTGTGTCTAGAGAAGGGATTGGGACAGTATAGAGAAGTATAGGGGTTTCGTACCTGGCGCTTCAGGTTTCCGACGAGCAGACCATCAAGGATTTCGCGGGCTTCGTCTGAGTGACCGACATCCTCGAATGCCTCTGTTGAGTCCTGGCCTCCGACATCGAGCAGAACTTCCTCACCACCTCTGTAGACATGTTAGCGCTTACTCTTGTATCATTCGCGTGGTATAGCCAGGAGCGGGGCTTTTTTGCGATAACGGGAGTGCGAATGCCGAGGTGCATTGCGCGGTGTGCAAGGCAGCAACGTACGGGTGTTCATCTACGAAGCTTGATGCGTTGTAGACCTTGTCGTGAACAACAATGTACAAGTCCTTCTTGGTGTTGTGCTCCGAGACGTCGGAGTAGGTGAATTCCTTGTCGGCCATTGTGGAGTTGTGTAGGAAATGCGAAACGTGTTCCGAAGTAGCAGCTTCGAGACGAGCGTATTGCTGCGTGGGCCGAGGCGAGTATAGGACGTTGAAAGGAAAGCGCGAGAGTCGTGGGGCTTTGGAGGTGAGGTGTCAGGTCAGAAAGAAACGGCGGATAAGAAGTTGTGGTCGTAGCGGGATTAGCTCTAGCTCTCAGTTTAGGCGTATTAGGCGTAGGAGAGGGTTGTGCTCACAGTCAAATTGCGACTCGCCAATTGGCTGTCTGGCGCCTCACTCACCGACGTTCCCGAGCTCCGCCAGAACGGGTAAGAAGACCCTGTCTCGTGTTGATGGTGGGGCTGCAGGATTATCGCGGGGCAGTCCTTTCACTCTTTGAGTATCCAATTCCGCTGCTAGTCAAAGTAGTCATATCATGTCATTGAAATCGCTCGCTATGCTAAAATGATAAGATGCTCATGACCTTTTGCACCTGAGCTCACTATGGTAAACAGCCATCACGAACCTAGGACCTTCACCCTCATCCACTCGCTCGTACCAACCCCAAGATTTAATCCGTTCAATGCCCACCACCTCCTTACAGCATCTCCCCGTGCCCCCTCTACACCATCCTCCAATGCCTCTTCAATATCGCATGTTTTGTATTCCACTTTCAGACCGCTGCGCTTCCACCACTCAAGTACATCGGCATGGCCCATCTTGGTTGGTCCGACGAGAACTTGGTTGTCGAAGAGAATCTTTTCGCCGCGGAGTTTGCGCCAGTAGTCTAGAATATGTGTGTGACCATGGGTTGAAGCAACCTTGGCTATTGTATCTTCGTGCGAGAAGGGAATGCCGGATTCTACCCAGAAGTGAATTGCGGGCAGACATCCTGACTGTGTTGCGTAAGTTATCGACTTGCCGACCTTGAGAGGCAGGTCATCTCGGTGAGGTTTGTTAGGAGCCTGTTCATCGACTGGAGAGGAAGGGACTGAAGGGGCAGTCCTATGGCGGCTGTGCTCTTTCCACCATTTGAGAACGTGAATGTGACCCTGAGAGCTAGCTTGTTCAAGTGCAGCTTCTGTGTATTTGAGCGATAGGCCAGAATTATACCACCAGTCGAGAGCTTGGACAGAGTTGGCGCGACTTGCATTGTCAATGGCTTCCGCAGAATACTCCTTGGTGAGGAAGGTAGGGGATGTTCTCCAATATTCAAGGATCTCCGTCTTTCCAAACACTGAGGCTTTATGAGGAAGGAATGTGTGTCCAAATGTACTCCAGAAGAGATCCTTGTGGAACTTCTCTAGATGCATCAGAACGGGTACCATGGCAAAGCGCATAATAAGTTCGATGCACATACGGGAGATGCGCGTGGGATGCTCAGAGTCGAACAGAGCCTTAATCTCAGAATACGGATATGTGAGAAGCGCCCATTCTATCTTCTGCATTTGTGTCTTGGGCCCTTCTTCGCTTGTAGCCTGTCGCCACTCTTTCGGCACGGGCAGGTTTGTATGGACATTCAAGGTAGTCGCTAGTTCCCAGTCCTTGGTGAATTCCAGGATGATAGACCAGAGCTCTGGTGGGAGACGGGGTCCCTTGCTTCTCGTAGGTGTCAGTGTGGGGAGGTGGGCAATAGGCAATGCGATGGTGCGATCACCGACTGCCATGAGATCGATCTGGGTTTGTATAGATTCGTTGAACGCCTTGTGTCCGTCTACCCATGGGTGGTACTTTCGCCCTGAATGGTCAAAGGACCATAGGAACGGAGGAAGGACGCGAATCCAATTCCACTTCCGGCGGATCTTGCTGATCTGTTTCCTCGACATGGGGTTCTCCCACATCAGCGTGGACATTCCCGGTATAAGCATTATTTTCTTCGACACATTCCAGCTGCGTAAAATCTTCAAATGCAGGTTCGTTGTGAAACCGTGAAGCATGCGGGCGAGGTTCTCGGCATCTAGCGGTGCCAGCACCAGCAAGTCGGCCCATGAGCAGTACTCTGCAACGTTGGTCTCTTGGTAGTCGGCATGTTGCCACTCGGGCGTCGTGTCCTTTTCAGGGTCATACGTGTGCCAGACGGGCTCGAGCTGGGGCGGGACAGTCGTATGGGTCGTGGTCGGGAAGTCCTTGCATGCGATGATCTTCAATGAGACATGCTGGAGGCGATGCAGGCGCGCGACGATAGAGCAGCCAAAGCGGAAGGCAGAAGGGTCGGTTAGGGCGACGAGAACGTTTAGCGTGCGCGCGGGTGTTTGCGGGGACATTGATGAGGAGGTGAAGTGCGGTGTTGGAGTCGCTGTAGGGCTGTTCACGTCGAGGTGTTAGACCGCCATTGGCCGTCGCCCCACTGTGTCCATCTTCCTTCGCGGCTTATCTTATCTGATGTTGCTGCTAGGCATCCCTGCACAAGTCAGGTACACTGGGAGGGCGGAGGCATGGAGACGCGAGCACCTGGCACGGTATTTAGGCCAGTAGGTAAAAAGGGCCGACGGAGTCGCATGTACACGTCAAACATCAATTAATTCCATGGTTGATGCATCGCTGTCGCATCTACTCGTCAGAGACTTGGCAGCAATTTTCTGGTCAAACACTTTTCCAACAGCAAAGATTAGCGCCGAAGACTACGTGCCGTGCACATCTATCACGTGAGCGGACACCGACCAGCGGATCGTGGGGAAGGACTGGCGATTGGGTTCCGCGGAACGGCGAGGACAGGCGTACCGTACTTTCGTCACGAGCAAGTGTCAAACATGTCACGGCTGGTGTGAGGGAGTGGAGGGTGTCCAGGTGTCGAGATATGCTGTGTGTGGGAGGTGAGACGGTGAAGAGGTTTATTGTTCACGTTCGTCCGTCGTCAAACAATAAACAAGCAGATGATCATCTCTCCCGCGTCTGCTGAGACGCACTTCTTGGTTCGGCGTTCAGCAGCCACACGCTGGGCGCATCTCACCGATGACGTAACCTCGTCTTTCGTGTTAATTCCCGCCGCGCCGCGAGATGGAAGTGGGTCGCAGGCGATGGAATTTATCGAGAAGACCATGTTAGGGGCAACATCCGCTATGCCCATCGCGGCCTAAATCGACGATCGCAGACTGTGTGAGCGACTACGCTCAGATCCTCCATGATCGACATTTGAAGGCGCATCAAGCCATTCAAGTGTCTGTCGGGCCCTTGATGGCAGTCATCCATCTCATCAACTAAGACGGTGACGCGCTGCCTGGCTTGCCGTTTTGTCTGCACCAGTGCACCAGTGCAGCTTAGGAGAAAGCCTGATTGCCGTCGGTCGTCTTCTCTTCTTCTGTCGCTTTCCCCCGTTTTAGAGCCTCGCACTTACTGCTGCTCGACGATCTAGAATTCGCCCCTCTCACGCCAGCCCTGCTGGAGATCTCCCACAGCAGCACCTCTTCTGCCAACTTCATGAGGCTGCTAGGCCCGCCCAACACCCACCTCTGGCAAAAAGAACGAGACTCCTATTAGGGACTGTCCACGCTATCGCCACCTGTTTCCCGGTCCCTGCATAACGCCAAGTCACTTTGCGTGCCGACGAGCGAAGCCTCCAATAAATCTACACCTCACGATAGCGACCGCTACCCTCCCATGGACGCCTGAAGGCACAAGCCGACCGTGTGCGGGTGCCTTTATTCCTAGCGACCGTAGCCAGGCCATCTGGAGCCTTCTAGTTCTGCCAGCGGCGTTCACGCGTTTCGACGACTCCGAGCTCCATGTCTCAATCATCACCCAAGCAGACCCCCAACTCTGGCCCTCCTGTACAAGACGATGGTCGCTTCAACTTCTCCACCGTGTCGCCTGTGTCGGAAGAGCCATGCACCCCCGATGCCGGCACAAAGACGACCGACTTCGCTTCTTTGCCACCGTCTAACGCTGCACATGCGGCTCTTAGCAACGAGGCAGCTTCAAGCGCCTTGAGCCCCTCTGCGACCGACCGAGTCTTTCCCATACGCAGCGCCATCAGCGTCGACCCTACTCCCACCCCCAAGGGCGGTCATTCACAGGGTGACTACTTCCACCCATATTCAAGGACCAACGACTCGCGCTTCACGAGCGACTCGCGTAGGGCATCGCAGGGCTCCACCACCTCACAGTCATCACATGCCTCGCAACGCAATTGGAGTTTGCGCCACGGAGGGAACAAGCCTGATGCGGGTTCCGACACCCAGCGTTCGTCTCTCAAATCAAGCCAAAGAGGTGACAGCTCGCGGATGACCGCCCCCGTCCTGCCCCCCCAACTGTTCAACGACCTGTCATCAACAAGGTCAGGTGGAAGCGCACAGAATGGCAGTCAATCGCCAGGTTCCAAGGCCGAGCGTGCACCGTCGATTGGAGGCGCTTCCGCTAGGAGCGGTATAAGCAGCCTGGATATGGGCGGTCTGGTAACACACCGGTTCAAGCACGTCACGACCGAAGGGGGCCACATGGTCATAACAGGTCGTGAGGGCGATACCCTGCAGCGCTGCGAGGATGAGCCCATTCATCTTCCGGGTGCCGTGCAAGGGTTCGGCCTGCTGCTGGCACTGCAGGATGATCCTGAAGGGAGTCTGCTAGTGCGCGTCGTAAGTGAGAACTCCAAGCGCATTCTTGGGCGTACCCCAAAGGAACTTTTTGCATTAGAGAGCTTCACAGACATTCTCTCCGAAGAGCAAGCCGACAACCTTTTGGACCACATCGACTTCATCAAAGACGAAGACTCCGACGTTACGTCCAACGGGCCCGAAGTCTTTACCATGTCGATCAAAGTAGCTGGATACAATAGAACGCGCAAGTTATGGTGTGCAATCCACATGAACGAGTCCAACCCTGGGCTTGTCATCTGCGAGTTCGAGCTTGAAGAGGATCCATTGTATCCCCTGGTTCCCCCTAACGACCTCACGCCAGAGCTGCCGGAAGACACTTTGTCCAGTCAGCCTACGGCCGAGGAACTGCTTGAAAGTACAGAAATCAAGAGTAAACCCCTGCGGGTCCTACGCAGTGCGCGGAAACGAAAGGGCGAGGCTGCCGCCATGGAGGTTTTCAACATAATGTCTCAAGTGCAAGAGCAACTGGCCGCAGCGCCATCATTGGAAAAGTTCTTGAAGGTTCTTGTCGGTGTGGTCAAGGAGTTGACTGGCTTCCACCGCGTCATGATATATCAATTCGACCAAACGTTCAACGGCCGTGTCGTCACCGAACTTGTTGACCCTCGCGCGACCAAAGATCTCTACAAAGGCTTAAATTTCCCTGCCTCTGATATTCCAAAGCAGGCTCGAGAGCTATACAAGCTCAACAAGGTACGTATGCTCTACGATCGCGACCTAACAACCGCAAGGCTTGTATGTCGCACCGCCGAGGACTTAGAGAGCCCTCTCGATCTCACCCACTCGTATCTTCGCGCCATGTCTCCTATTCATCTCAAATACCTAGCGAACATGGCTGTAAGATCCTCAATGTCCATCTCCATCAACGCCTTCGATGAGCTGTGGGGTCTTATCGCCTGTCACTCATATGGGCCACGCGGTATGCGAGTGTCATTTCCTATACGCAAGATGTGTCGCATGGTCGGTGATGCAGCGTCTCGAAACATTGAAAGATTATCGTATGCTTCTAGACTGCAGGCTAGGAAGCTCATCAACACCGTACCGACGCAACACAACCCTTCCGGATACATCATCGCCTCTTCTGATGACCTCCTGAAACTGTTCGACGCTGATTTTGGTTTATTGTCCATCCGAGACGAGACGAAGATTCTTGGCGTCCTGGAAAACTCACAAGAAGCTTTAGCCATGTTGGAATATCTCAGGATGAGGAGAATTCAGTCGGTCATGACTTCCATAGATATTGTCTCGGACTTCCCCGATCTGCGATATCCCCCTGGGTTCCATATCATAGCCGGCATGCTCATCGTTCCTTTGTCGGTAGATGGCGAGGACTTCATTGTCTTCTTCAGGAAGGGTCAACTGAAGGAGGTGAAATGGGCTGGTAACCCATATGAGAAGTTCATAAAGGAAGGCACCGAGGGCTACCTAGAGCCCCGGAAGAGTTTCAAGACATGGTCCGAGACTGTTGTTGGAAAATGCCGCGAATGGACAGAAGAAGAGATCGAGACTGCCTCAGTACTTTGCTTGGTCTACGGAAAGTTCATAGAAGTCTGGAGACAGAAAGAAGCCGCCCTTCAGAGCAGTCAACTGACCCGATTGTTGCTGGCGAACTCGGCACATGAAGTACGTACACCGCTTAATGCAATCATCAACTACCTCGAGATAGCATTAGAGGGCGCTCTGGATACGGAAACGCGAGAGAACCTTTCGAGATCGCACTCGGCATCCAAATCTCTCATCTACGTAATCAATGATTTGCTCGACTTAACCAAGACGGAGGAGGGCGGACCACTCATTAAGGGGGAGTCGTTCGACTTCAGGGAAACAATCAAAGAGGCTACAGATATGTTCCGAAATGATGCCAAACGGAAGAACATTGCTTACGAAGTCATCGAACATCCGGGCCTGCCTACTCTGTGTATCGGAGATCAACGCCGAATTCGCCAAGCAATATCAAATATCACTGCGAATGCGATTCAGAACACCACTCAAGGAAGCGTCAAAGTAGAGGTGTATCTTGCAGCAAAACCGAGCAAAGATCACGTTGAGGTGGAGATTGCAGTATCAGATACAGGTGTTGGCATGAGCCAGAAGAAGCTCGATCAACTGTTCTATGACCTGGAGCAAGTCCAGTCCGAGCCCACTTCCATGCTAGAAGATGCTCTTGTGCCGGACAAGAAGCAGATCGCTGAACAAGGCGAGAAGTCAACATTAGGTCTTGGTTTGGCAGTCGTTGGGCGCATCATCAGAAATATGAACGGCCAATTAAGATTGCGATCAGAAGAAGGCAAAGGCACAAGATTCGTCATACAGTTTCCGTTCGACCTTCCAGATGCCGAGGTTGAAGCTGTATCAACAGCAGAGGCTTCACCAGCTGGCAGCATCACGCCTCAACCTGACAGTGTACTCTCGAGCATCCTATCTGGCCCTGAGGATGGTGAGCGAACTCTGATTGCACCGAGCCTTTCACGCCACACTTCCGATAGTGAGGTGAAAGACACTTCGAACAGTGTGGTGATACGAAGGTCGAGTGCGGAGAGTTTGACAAGTAAAACTAGTCTACGCAGCTTCAAGAGCGGCTCAAGCCAGAGAAGTGACGTGGACAGACTCATTGACGCTATACAAGAGCCGCACATGATTGGCAGAGGCGATACCAGTCCTGGAGCACGTTCACTGAGACCTCCTTTGACGAAACGCAACAGCCTTGAGCCTGCCGCTCCACGCATGAGGTCTAGGAGCCTTGAACACATCAGCAGTCAGTCTGTTGTTCCTCCACACAAGAGAAGCATGAATTCTGAACATCCTGGCGAGGAAAGCGTTGGCGGTTCCGGTGCTCCTATCACGGCATTGAAGATACCTGATCCAGGCGGCGATAGCCCGATAGATCCTCGGCCAAAACCTGGAAGCGTACTTGGAGAAGTACAGGGCGATACGCCTATCGAGCCTTCTGCTGAACCGGAGAAGCTGACTGCCGATCACATGCGCGTACTTGTTGCTGAAGACGACCCGGTAAACAGTCGAATCGTGAAAAAGCGATTGGAAAAGCTTGGGCATAAGGTTCACCTTACCGTCAATGGCGAAGAGTGCTCGTCGGCGTACTGCGATAATTCAAAAGACATCGACGTTGTCTTGATGGATATGCAAGTTAGTACAGTGTGTTCCAGACTATGTTGTTTATGCTAATATCTGTGAAGATGCCAATTGTCGACGGACTCACCTCAACCAAGATGATAAGATCATTCGAGAAGCTACACCACGACATATACTCTGCTCGAGCTGCCCTCTGCGGACGCGTCCCTATCATTGCCGTCTCCGCTTCATTGATCGAGCGCGATCGACAACAATACATCGACGCTGGGTTCGATGCATGGATCTTGAAGCCGATCTCTTTTGACCGACTTAACAAACTGATGGCTGCTATCGTTGACACCGACATTCGACACGACTG